AGTGCATGGGAAGTCCCTATGTACTATCTCGGCCTGCCTCCTGACTGCCTCCGACTGCCTGCAGTTGCAGGGCGGGCAGTCCAGGAGGCTGCTCTTGCCAATGCCGAACTGAGCCAGGGCCTGGCGCTGCAGCTGTTGTGGGAACAGGCCAAAAATAGCCTGTTCCTAAAACCCTGGTTCAGTGCCTGAGTTTCAGGGCAGGCCGGTCTGATGACAGACCGGAAATGGCCCTTCGTTTCAGGCTAAAAAGCTGGGTGAGGACGGCGCCCGGCCGGGCGTGCCCCGGGGGGGCCGCCCGGGCAAACCGGGCGGGCCAAAAAACACCCGAGAATTTTTTTTTTCTTTTTTCTGAAGGCGGGGTCTTTCCTCGCTCATCGCGAGGACCCCGAATCTGCAATAAAATTTTGGGTTTGGGGGTGGGGGTGGGGATGGGAGGGTGGGGGGGGTCGCCGGGGGGGCTCTGCATGCATGTTGCCTGCTGAATGCTGAATGCAGGTCATCTGATATGTGCAGTGTTGGGGGCTCTGCATGTTTGTTGCCTGATGCTGTGATGTCTGCTGCATGCATGTTGACGACACTTAGATTGACATAGATTGAAGAAGACTGACGACAAGAAACAAGAAGAAGAACACTGACGAGAAGAAGAAGAAGAAGAAGAAGAAGAAGAAGAAGAAGAAGAAGAAGAAGAAGACTGACAACTTGCAGGAAATCTTTGAGTTCTTTAGCAGCATATCAGCTGCATATGGCCAATATCGATCCACACTCTCTCTCTCTCTCTCTCTCTCTCTCTCTCTCTCTCTCTCTCTCTCTCTCTCTCTAAAGAAGAAGGATGAAGGAGGAGGAGGAAGAAGGGGTGGATGGTGAGATGGGATGGAGGGATGGATGGCGAGATGTCATGGAAGGAGGAGGAAGGAGGAGGAAGAAGGAGGAAGGAGATGGAGGAAGAAGGAGGAGGACAAAGAAGGAGGACGAAGAAGAAGGAAGAAGAAGGAAGAAGAAGGAGGAGGAAGGAGGACGAAGAAGAAAGATGAAGGAGGAGGAGGAAGAAGGGATGGATGGCGAGATGTGATGGAAGAAGGAGGAAGGAGGAGGAAGAAGGAGGAAGAAGATGGAGGAAGAAGGAGGAGGAGGAAGAAGGAGGAAGAAGAAGAAGGAAGAAGAAGAAGGAAGAAGGAGGAGGAAGAGGACGAAGAAGAAGGATGAAGGAGGAGGAGGAAGAAGGGATGGATGGCGAGATGGGATGGTGGGATGGATGGCGAGATGGGATGGTGGGATGGATGGCGAGATGGGATGGTGGGACGGATGGCGAGATGGGATGGTGGGATGGATGGCGAGATGGGATGGTGGGATGGATGGCGAGATGGGATGGTGGGATGGATGGCGAGATGGGATGGNGATGGGATGGTGGGATGGATGGCGAGATGGGATGGTGGGATGGATGGCGAGATGGGATGGTGGGATGGATGGCGAGATGGGATGGTGGGATGGATAGCGAGATGGGATGGTGGGATGGGTGGAGAGATGTGACGGAAGGAGGAAGAAGGAGGAGGAAGAAGGGGGAGGAAGAACAAGGAGGAAGAACGAGGAGGAAGAAGGGGGGGGGGAAGAAGAAGGAGGAAGAAGGAGGAGGAGGAAGAAGAGGGAAGAAGAAGGAGGAGGAAGAAGGAGGAAGAAGAAGAAGGAAGGAAGAAGAAGGAGGACGAAGAAGAAGGAGGGAGGAAGGAGGAGGACGAAGGGTGGATGGCAAGATGGGATGGTGGGATGGGTGGCGAGATGGGATGGTGGGATGGATGACGAGATGCGATGGAAGAGAAAGGAGGAGGAAGGAGGAGGAAGGAGGAGGAGGAAGAAGGAGGCAGAAGAAGGAGAAAGAAGGAGGAAGGAGGAAGAAGAAGGAGGAAGAAGAAGGACGAAGGAGGAGGAGGAAGAAGGGATGGATGGCGAGATGGGATGGATGGATGGCAAAATGTGATGGAAGAAGGAAGAAGAAGGAGGCAGAAGAAGGAGGAGGAAGGAGGAGGACGATGAAGGAGTAAGAAGAAGAATGAAGAAGAAGAAGAAGAAGAAGAAGAGAAGAGGAGTGGAGGAGGCGGAGGAGGACGACCGTTGTTTTTTTTTTTTTTCTGTTCGCCGTTCGCGACAACTGCCTAAGGTCGCCGAAGATGTGCCCTGCCCCAAACAGCCAAAAGGCCGAAGAAGATAAAGATCGCCATTAACTGCCGAAGGTCGACTGATGCAAGAAGAAGAAGAAGAAGAAGAAGAAGAAGAAGAAGGGGGGACAAAGGGGAAGACGAAGAAGAAGAAGAAAGATTGTGGGGGAAGAAGAAGAAGAAGAAGTAGAAGAGAAGAGGAGAGGAGGAGGGGGAGGAGGACGGCCTTTTTTTTTTTCCGTTCGCCGTTCACAACAACTGCCTAAGGTCACCGAAGATGTGCCCTGCCCCAAACAGCCAAAAGGCCGAAGAAGATAAAGATCGCCGTTAACTGTCAAAGGTCGACTGATGCAACAAGAAGAAGAAGAAGAGGAGGAGGGGGGGACACAGGGGAGGACGACGAAGAAGAAGAAAGATTGTGGGGGAAGAAGAAGAAGAAGAAGAAGAAGAAGAAGAAGAAGACGAGGGGAAGGCTCGACGTGCCTGACGGCCTCCCTTCTGTTTTTCTTACCTTTCGAGTCTCGCGCAACATAACCAACGTCCACGATACAAGCAAAAGAAGAAGAAGAAGAAGAATGGCGGCAGCTCCTGCGAACGGCGACGATGAATGACGGGCGAATGGGGCAGCTCCAACGAACAGCAACGGGCGGCGGGTCGAAGGGGGCAGATCCAGCGAACATCCACGGACGGGCTGCGGGCAAGATCGCCGCCAATCGAAATTGGGCAGGAAACTTGGGACGGCTCTGTGGCCGTCGATCAAGGCGGATCGACGGCCACAGACCCGCCGCAATTTTGAAACGGGCTCCCGCAGGCCTATCGGGCCCGATGCCGCGGGTTTTCGGCCGGTCGGACCCGGTAGGCCTGCAGGAGGCCACCACCGTTCGAAATGGGGTCTGAAAACCCCGAAATGCCCTGTGCGCTGGGAGGGGGCGGGGACCGAGCGGGTGCACTGCCCGGCCAGGCCGCCCAGGACCCCACCCGGGCCCCCGCCGGTCCGCCGGGCCCCCCGGAACCCCACCCAGCTAAAAAGGCTACTGCCATTTTTAGTCTGAAACGACACAGGGTTTGTAGGCCCCTGTTTTTCAGGCTTTTGAGCTGAATGGTCACGAGGCCTGTAGGCCCTGGTTTTCAGGCGTTCAGCCTGAATTTCAGGTTTTCAGCCTGAGGGACGCAGGGCCTGGAAAATGGCCCTCGTGTGCAGGCGCAGCATGTAGCAGTGGACAGACTGCTAGCACCTAACAGACAACCTAGATTAGAACTGTAGTGTTCAACCATTGCCAGTTCTGTTCGATGTTGCTGTGAGTGAAACTAATCGAAGTAGGATTAGATCATGTGCTCAGTCTGTGTATATGTTGTTGATACCGCTTGAACAGTAGCCTAGGTGACTTGTCGGATATTAATTTATTTTCTGAGTGAGGACACTGCCCGGCCGGGCAGGCCCAGGTAAACCGGGCGGGCCAGAAAAAAAGGTTACTGCCATTTTTTTTGGAACCGGGGTCGTTCTGCGCTCGGCGAGAGGACCCCGAATCTGCAATAAAATTTTGGTTTCAGGGGGGTGGGGTGGGGGGGTTGGTCTGGGTGGGGGTTGCTGGGGTTGGGGGCGTGTCTACAATGTATGATGGAGGATGGCGAGATGGGATTGAGGGAGGGAGGGATGGAGGATGGAGGATGGAGAAAGGCAGGGAGTAGGGAAGGAGGGGAAGAAGAAGACGAGGAGAGAAGAAGACCTAATGAGGGGGAGGAAGAAGAAGAAGAAGAAGAAGAAGAAGAGAGGTGAGGAGGGGAAGAAGAAGAAGATGAAGAAAGGTCGAGGGGAAAGATGAAAACACGAGGGGGAGGGGAAAAACTGGAAGACGAGATGACGCCGAGGAGAAAAGAAGAAGGAAGAAGAAGGCGACCAAAGAAGGAGGGGGAGGAGGACGGCCTTCATTTTTTTTTTTTTTCAACCTAACGTGTCTCACGTGACCTACCGAATGTCGACGAACTGGAAGAAGAAGAAGAAGAAGAAGCAGAAGGAGGAGGAGGAGGAGGAGGAGGAGGAGGAGAAGAAGAAGAAGAAGAAGAAGAAGAAGAAGAAGAAGAAGAAGAAGAAGAAGAAGAGAAAGAAAACGAGTGGGAGAGAATGGGAAGACGAAGAAGAAGATGAAAGGTTATGGAGGAAGATGAAATCACAAGGTGGACGAGGGGAAGACGAATAAGACGAGTGGAGGAGAAGGAGGAGAGAAGAAGAAGGAGGAGGATGAAAGAAGAAGAAGAAGAAGAAGTAGAAGAAGATGAGCCAAGTAGGGGGGGGAGGTAGGTGGACGGCCTGTCGTATCTCACGTGACCTGCCGAATGATCTAGAAGAAGAAGAAGAAGAAGAAGAAGAAGAAGAAGAAGAAGAAGAAGAAGAAGATGGCTGTGATAGGGTATGGCGGCGGCGGTAGGGTATGGAGAAAGGCAGGGAGGAGTAGGGAAGGAGGGGAAGAAGAAGATGAGGAGAGAAGAAGACCTAATGAGGGGAGGAGAAGAAGAAGAAGAAGAAGAAGAAGAAGAAGAAGAAGACGAAGAAGAAGAAGAGAGGTGAGGAGGGGAAGAAGAAGAATATCACGAAAGGTCGAGGGGAAAGATGAAAACGGGAGGGAGAGGAGGGGAAGAAGTGGAAGACGAGATGACGACGAGGAGAAAAGAAGAAGGAGAAGAAGAAGATGAGCGGAGAAGTAGGGGGGGGAGGA